GTGGCACCAGAGCTTTGCAGGATGCAGCCTGAAAGAAAAAAGTTGGTAGCATGTGCTTTCCTAGATTTGGTCTACTTTCCTCAGTTCATGCCATGCATCTGAGGAAATAGACTTGAGTCTTCAAAAGTTGATGCCACAACTTTCTTTGCACAGTCTCAAAGGTGCTGTGAGATCCCTTTGCATTCAAAAACATAGTTTATAAATCCCAAAAGAAAAGAGGAAGGCAAACACCGAAAACAGAAGGGTTCTAGCTGTGAACCATTTTCAGTGTCTCCATTTCTGCAGTTCCAAAAATGTGGGCACTGAAGGAAAATGTTCCTAGGGAGGGGGGCTTCTTATCTGAAGGCAAATAAGATTTAGATTGAAAGCCAGCGTGTCATAGGGCCTTGACCATTGGACTATGATTCTGAAGACCAGGATCCCAATCCCGCCTCAACCATGGAAATCTATTGGGTGACCTTGGGCAAATCACACTCTCTCAGCCTCAGAAGATGACAGTGGCAAACCCGCTCTAAAGAAACCTGCTGAGAAAACGCCATGAAAGGTTCGCCTTAAGGCACACAACCACAAAAGGTTTAGACAGCCCCTATAACCACACCATTTGTGCAGCAAAGTGCACCAAGTGATATTGAAAAATCCTGAAATGGACAATCCAGAAAGACAATACATTTTTTACAAAAAGAACAGTGAAGGGTTTAAAAAAACTGCCTCCTGTCTCTCACTCAGGGGTCCAAAACACACTGCAGAAATAACCCAGTATGAGACTGCTTTAACTGCCTTGGCTCAGTGCTAGGGAATCCTGGGAATTGTAGTCTGTGGTGGCACCAGAGCTCTCTGACAGAGGTGGCTAAATGTGTCACAAAACTACAGTTCCCAAGATTCCCTAGCACTGAGCCAGAGCAGTTAAAGCAGTCTCAAATTGGGTTATTTCTACAGTGTGTTTTGGACCTCTCTCTTTCACTCTGGCTGCATCCACACTGCAGAAATGATCCAAGGTGACAACTGTCTTGGCTGAATGCTAGGGAATCCTGGGAACTGTAGTTTTGTGACACATTTAGCCTTCTCTGTCAGAGACTTCTGGAGGCACAAGAAAGATTTCCCTGGCATTGAGCCAGGGCAGATAAAGCAGTTTCAAACTGGGTTATTTCTGCAGTGTGTTTTGGACTCCTGAGTGAGAGACAAGAGACGGGTCTTGCTCCGCTTTGGGCCCCACAACAAACGCTAATTCCCAGAATCCCATTGAGCCAGGGCAGTTAAAGCGGTGCCAAACAGGGTTATTTCTCTGTCTCTGGGCCTTTGCAGACTGCCAGAAATAGTGCACATTAAA